GGGGGTTCCAGTTGGGTGGTGGTGAAAAGGGGGGTGGTGGTGAAAAGCGGTGCTGGTTGTTGGTGGATGGGATGGTTATATAGGCTGGTTCCAAGTTGTAGTCATACCCTCAATGGTGATTGGAGTGTAAATGTCACAGACCAAGTTCTCCTCTCCATTCACATTTCACCGCAGACAGAATCAACCAACGTGCCACCGCTTCACTTTCCCCCTTTCTTCTTCCCGCCCCCAGCCGGAACCTCCTCCTTCACCAACCCCGCCCGCACGAATGCGTCCCTCGCGGTCTGGTTTATGAGCGCAAACCGGCGCGGGCCCAGCTTCTGCCCCCCGTACCAGCGCGTCACGACGACCATGGCATCCCACAGGTCCATAAGCTGCATGAGATGCAACAGCCGCCCGCCGGCCGCCGTCTCTCCATCGTCGTCGCAATCCTGGAAGCTGGCTCCGTTCGGGCCCCGTATGCGCCAGGCCGTGATGTTGTGCGTTGCCGTGCGGACTCGCTTATCTGACGCGAGAAGATGGGCGAGGAAGGTGGCTGCCTGGGTGGGAGATGTGACGGGCGCATAGCGGGCGACGAAGGTGGATTTGTTTTCTATGAAGGGGATGGAAAGAACCCAGGGAGGTGCTGGTCCCAGGTCACCGGCGCTGGGTTCCGTTGAAGTGTTGAGAGTAGGGGTGTCATCGCTCGCAGGGGAAGCCGGGACCTCATCCTCTCCTTCGCCCTCTTTGACGGCTGATAACAATTCCTGGACTTTCTCTATGGCGTCGAACAAGCATACTTGCCCCGGTTCGTACACCTCGCTGACCGCATCCCGGAAGAGGGCCAGATCCCTTGCGGCAGCCCCGTGTTTTCCTGCGGAACCGGAACTATGGGTTCCGAGGACTGTGAGAGGTACGTCTGGGTATGTCTGAGGGAACTGCAGTCGTAAAGAAGCAGTTTCCCCAGGAAGAGTGAGGATGAAGATGGATGAGTCTTGGTCCTGAGACGAGGGGGTGAGCGTGTTGTCCCCGTATATGGAATTGATGGCTTCTATTTCGTCGGCGAGCGCTTCTGACATTTTTGAAGGTCGGATGTGGGGCTGGTTTTGGTCCTGTGGAAGGTCAAACCGAGTCGAGGGTCCTGTGGAAGGTCAAACCGAGTCGAGGGAGTGGTGGCTTGTGAGTGGTTGATGATTTGAGGTTGCGGTTGAGGAATGGGTGGAGCACGTTTTCGGATGAATCGCACTGTGGGCTCAACCACCTCAAGCTAACTGGAGACTAGCACATCGAGGATATAGACTGCTAAAACTGACATTCTAGCCTCCTGCTTAGAGCACTCCATGCCAGTAGAAATATTAATTGAATCACGATTGTCATAACTATTATTCCTCTTCTTTAACAAGAGCAGAAAAACACGGAAAATGGTTGACGAGATAAACCCCGGGATAACAGCCTGGTAGCCAGAGCCAAGCCGGAACCGAGGCCCCGGGCCCGACTGTACAGTAGGTTCACACCTTTAGATATCTTCTTTCTACCCCAGGTATAAGTACCTAGGTAGGTTCCACTTCTGTTCTCGGGCGGTCTATGGTTGATATGTGTAAGTATTTCTGATTAAGACTTACCATTGCGGCTTGAGTGTTTCATCCTCTATGTTGGTAAGCTGCCGCCGATAACCAAGTGCGTGTTTGCCTCAGCTGTGCCTCCTTCCGATCCGGGCTTGCTTGGCACCGGCCACGCTGAAGCCAGGCCAACACATAGACCACGCAGGTCCACGCTCAATGAATCCCTATTAAAGACTCCCAATCTCACCCGATAAGTAGTTCGCCCTTCCCACCACACAACACTTGCTAATTTTGAGCACCTGACATTTCATGACTCATAATTCCTTGTTCCCTTCCCAAGTAGTACAAAAAGTTATCGAAAAGCCACCAGCGGCCAGCCCCCCACTGCAAACGACCCCATGCGACGTGTCAAACGCCCTGCTCCTCGTTCTACTCGCAAAATGGCTACTTCTGATAACGACGCCCAAACCAGCACACAAGCCAGCATGCCCAGTGACGATGGCACACACTGTGCTTTCTTTTATGGTAAGCTATGCAACTCTTCGTGCACTTCGCTTTCAACATTGATGCAGCTGCTGACCATTTCAAACGACAGGCACACTGGTATGGCAGCCTAAAAATCATGACTCTTAGGCCCTGAGCGGGACACTGCTAACCAACCACCACGGCGCAGATGGCAGCCGACGTCTTTCACACCGTCTGCTACGGGACCAAAGACGTCCCCGAGGAGATCAGCAATCTCCACACTTCCCACCCGGCCGTCCTCCACGGCTTCTGCCGCCGCCGCGTTAAGTACGCCGACTACCCGGGTATCATCGAGGACAAGGACCACAACGTTGTCGGCACCTTTGTCACGGGGCTCACCAACGCGAACATGGCCAGGCTCGACCACTTTGAGGGCAGCCAATACGAGCGCCGGCCCGTCACCGTTAGCCTGCTTAAGAAGCTCACAAACGGGAAGCTGGGCGAGGGCACCAAGGTGGAGGCCGAGACCTACATCTTCTTGAACAAGCGCGACCTTGAGTCGAGGGAGTGGTAAGCAACCCCGGTTTCTAGCTATTGCCCGAATTGCCTCCCTTTTTGATTTTGAAACGAGCTTGGGACGGGAGACTGACACAGCCATTTAGGGATCTGGAGGAATTCCGCCGTGAAAAGATGCAGAGGTGGACACGCTAAGTTGGACTAGAGATAAGGAGTAGCGATACTGCCACAGTGTTACCAACATCTGGCTTTGATATCCTCGACCATCACCCAAGCAACGTAGAAAGGCGGATGCCGACTCTTGAGAGCATTCAGTTTTTGGTCACGGGTTTAGTTGGAGAGAGTTTAGCGGAAACCCTCCCATTAATACATATTCACATGGAATTTACTCTTTGTCAAGGGCCATTAGCAAGCAGTATTCATTGGGCTGATACCCATGTGTTCTTGGTGCCTGTAAACATCCATACCTAAGTATATTGTTTGACGGTATAAATCCAAAGAACACTTGAATATGTCCGTATACCCAAGCTAACGGATAGCCTGGCGCCGCATGTAACTTCACAACACTACTTACGGCATTTTACCATCATGAGACACTGCTAACTCCTAGCACCTAGTTGGGTAAACAATCAAGCCCCTCCCATACCGTACCTATTGAATCTTTAGTTTCATGATTCAATGGCTCTAATGGACCTCAATCGTTGATCAGACATCACTTGAACTCCATTCGATTTACGCCTACTCCGGAGGCGAATGGTATTCCCACGTCTCTCTCCGTGCTCCCCCACATAACTTAACCCTTCTAGTCATAAACATATCATCTAGTTTATTCGCTACCGGTTGGGGGCTAACAACATATGAAGCCCACCTTTGATTCCTGTTAAGAATAGGAGTGTTGGCCTCCCACTTACCACACACGATACACGACCAAGGTTGCACAAACATGTACGAGCAGCTAACCTAGCCACCGAGGCAAAGTTGCAACGGCAGTGATAATACGATGGATTAACTCGCGGCCGGGGGGAGCAAGTGGACATGGCCAAGGACACGGGAGCCAGGCCCGACGCCATACCACCCACGCCACTAGCGTTGCCGGATGATCTTATTCTTGTTAACGGTGCCAGCCCGAGCCCGAGCTATACCTCAAGATCTGGCGTCGGTGACAAGGCTGACCAGATGCAGGCTATGAATGGGTGAACAGCCGTGGAGTCACAGCCACCGGCTTACCCGCGAGAGGGTAATGACCCTACCTTTGCCGGTACCTCCCCGGCTCGACGTACACCGCAGCTGGTCCTGGATATACCGGCAGCTTGACATCGGCCCTCCCGAACAGAAGTTCTCGAGGGCTGCCTGCACTCCGAACAAAATTACGCTCACTCGTCAGCAAAAATACTCATTTGGTCGGGGTCCTCTGCGTTTGCCACGCATGTGTTGTCTAGCTGGGGTTTGTGAGTGGCGGTAATGAAGGCGGCAGGAACTTTGTGGGAGGATGAGAAGCTGTTGTTGAGGTGAGATGTCCAGAGAGTGCAGAGGATGGATGACTTCGGTGTTTTATATGGCGTGGGTCGATCCTTGGGTGGGAGGGGGTAGAGGTCATCGTTGTCGGCTAAGGCGAGACGGGTCATCGAGGCGGGGGAGAGTTTCCAGGACGCAACTGCTTGGTATCAGGAGATGTCTGGAGGAAAACACTCGTTCGGTGTCACCCTGTCTGAGGCCGTTTCTATTGTCAACGGAAATGCCGGGTCGGGGCCGGAAAAGTCAGATCTGAACAGGCACTAGGATGGGAAAAAGAAAAGCACGGAGCGGGCGACGATTCCGCGAGGTTGGGAAAATGTTATCAACAAGCTTGCAACAACGCCATGCGGTATGTGGGAGAGGATGGTGGTTGTCTAGAGCAGTGATCATCGAGATCTAGTAAGGTAATTTTGAGGTGCTCAAGATGGAAGCCAAGGGCCGTTGCCTCGTGCATTCCTTAGGTGGTGATAGGCGGCGAGATGGCGATGAAAAGGGTAGGGAAACTTTGGCCGTTAGTATCGTAGGTTCGGCCGGCTTATGGATGGGCGACAGCAGATTCGACTTCGGTGCTGGGCAGGGAGGCGGATATAACGGCGAGGCCTGAGCGTAAAAGGAGGCTTCTAGCTAGAAACCATGCCGTGCGTGTCGCCATCCAGAAGATTAGTTAAGAGTTGGCAACCCGAGAAAGCCCGATGACAACACAACTCTGCGGCAGAGAGCTTTTGCTGGTTTTGCTGTTTAAGGAGTCGTAAGATGGAGGGGTGCGGAGCGAGGAAGCCTAATGGATGCGTTTAGGGATCGGAAGAGGAAGCCAACTTGAAGCCGCAACTGCCGTTGTTCCGTTGTTATACATACTGCATGGCACTCAGTGAGATTGAGGATCCGCCGAAGGAGTTGTAAGGTGGAGTGTGGAGATGGTCGCAAATTCAGGCGCAACTGCCCATAAACCCCGATTTTCCCATCCTCTCATCCCTCCGAATGCCGTCGGCAACAGTTGGCAGAACACCAAAACCGGGGGCTGGGCAGCCTTGCTAATGCCCTGGTTATTTTTGGAGAAATGTACGAAACAAGGCGTCCGTGGGGGCTTGGCCGCAAGTGTTGAGTAACCCAAAGAGCACAGAATCCGTCATCTGCGAGGTCCCGGCAATGCGCCAGACACAACCTCCTTATGTCCGTCAGTTGGTTTCGATCTGGGAGGCTGCGACAGTGGAAGGCCCGTTTTTCTTGCTGCGCGGCGGGCCTGGCTGCGGCCTCGTGGCAGGACACGGGACGAGCTTCGTACCGACAGAGTGATCGCTTCCATGGTAAAAAAAAAAAAAAAAAAAAAAAAAAAGGAGAAGTACGATGGCTGAAGTCCATGTGACGGCACTCTTGAAAGATAAAACGCTAATCACGCCATTCGATTTGACTGTATGTAACTTAAGAGAAGGGATTGGAATCGAGTTTGGGCCGGGACTGCCCTTGAACGTGAGCGTTGACGGCTAATGTGGATCGGGAGAATCCCTGCTGTGCGGGCTGGTAGGCTGGAAGGAGCGGCACAGTGGGCCATCCCCTCGCTTGGCAGATCCATCCATGGATCCGGGCCCCTTGGCATGGAGATCTGCCGCTTCGCTTCACAGTTCGCACATGGCCCAATGCCTGCAACACAGTTCCATGATCCATTGCTTAATCGAACCCGCCATCAATGACCAAGTCTGTCTGTCCAGGAACGGTTTGCGATTGCCAATAACATTTGCGATACATTGACAATATAACTAAAACAGCAATGCGAACACTTTTTTTTTTTTTTTTTTTTTTTCACATTCCCATGGCGAACACAAAGTCGGCCACCGTCGCGTCACGTAGATGGGATGTTGTTTGATGCCTGTCACGGGCCTCGGCCTTGGCTTTGGCCTCGAATCTCACGTCTTACATCACCTTCGTACCAGATACTAAGTCGTCACAGACAAACCCGCCCCCACTCACGCTTTCGTGGCTTACCGCCACCAACGTCCCCTTCGTATTGGCGTCTGTGCCACCCCACCGTCAGCAAGTCGTTCAGTCGGTCGCTACGCAAGATCAGTCGGCCGGAACTTAGTTTGTATCGTCTACCTGAAGGTCAGGCATGGAGACGGGCCGCACCATCCTTGAAGCCGGGCTGGGCGAATGTGTGACCGTTGGTAAGAAACTTGATGGTTTCGAACAGCCCCCCCAACACACGACGACCAGCCTGAACACGGCCGGGGTCATGATCTGGTCCATAGAGGCTGGGCTGCACTAGCTCCCGCCATACCGTCCGAGCTGGATGGCCTAGGATGTGTCCATCCGTCTCACGTCTCAGCTCTAAGCGGCTTCATCTGCCCCTTACAACCCCGTTTTGACGGGCGTAGCCGTAACACGACAACCCCGTTTGATAACCAGTCGCCATATTCAAGGCCCACAAGAAGCCCCCGTCTAAGCAGACTTTTACGGTGCCTCGCTGCGGCACATCTCGTTTTGGTTCTGCCGGCCAGGGGCGTCTTGTGTCTGAAGACATGTTCCCCAACGGCTTCACGCCGCTTTTCGTCGCCTCTAGTGGGGATGGCCCATTGCCCTGCGCCCCATGGAGGAGGTCGACAACCACTATCGTCCAAGGATATAAGGAAGTTGTCGAGCCCTCCTCTGGGGTCTTGGATTCCTCATCCTCACACTCACTCACCAACCACTCCAGTCCTTCCTTTTAGGCTTTGTTTTCTTGATTTGCCTGGTGCAATATCTTTCCTTCATTCACACTCCTTTCTAATCGCAGTACTCGTTGACCGAGCCTGTACCACATTCCTTCTTGGATACTCTAGCATCAAACTAGCTCCAGTCTTTCTCTGAAACTTCCAGTCCAATACATTCAAGATGTTCTCCCTCAAGTCCTTCGTTCTCGCCGGTGGCCTCGCGGCCCTCGCTGACGCTCACATGATGATGAGAATCCCCGCCCCCTACACTTCCCCCGCCATCTCGTCCAGCCCCATCGACGCTGGCGGTGCCAACTTCCCGTGCCAGAGCACCGGCGGCGCCTACGAGGGCACGCCGACTAAGATGGAGAAGGGCTCCAAGCAGCAGTTGGGCTTCACCGGTTCCGCCGTCCACGGCGGTGGTTCCTGCCAGGTTTCCATTACCTACGACGAGAAGCCCGACAAGTCGAGCTCGTTCAAGGTTCTCAAGTCGATTCAGGGCGGCTGCCCCGCCAGGAACACCCCCGGCAACCTTCCCGAGAACCCGAGCGGTGACGCCCCGGACACCTACGAGTTCACCATTCCCGAGGACATCCCCAGCGGCAAGGCCACCATCGCCTGGAGCTGGTTCAACAAGGTCGGTAACCGTGAGTTCTACATGAACTGTGCGCCTGTCGAGATCACCGGTAGCGGTGGCAGCGAGGCTGGTCTTGCCGCGCTTCCTGACATGCTGGTCGCCAACATCGCCTCCATGGGCACCTGCGCCACCGCTGAGGGCACCGACGTTGAGTTCCCCAACCCTGGCGCTGATGTCGAGACGGCCGAGGGCGAGGTTAACCTCGGCCCCCCGACCGGCGAGTGCGCTGCCTCTGGCGGCTCCGGCGGCGGCTCCGGCAGCGGCGGCTCTGCTACCGCTGCCCCCGCTGGCGGCTCCACTCCCGCTGCCCGCGTCCGCCGTGGCGTCCACTTCCGCGTCTAGGTAACAGCGCGCGGATTTGCTTTCTTCCAACGCTACGGAGCGGAGAGATAGGAACACGGGCATTTCGCATACCCGGGGACAGTCGTTACATTCCAGCAGAGTCGGGGCCGGGTCACTCGTTCAAGAACACATTCGTTAACCTGGTGGGGAATGGGCCCCTCATGCTTGCTTAGTTGGGCATGGGAATAGGGGGATACACTCGCTTCAGCAAGACAAAGGGACATTCGTTTGGACAATACAGATTTCAGAGAGATAGACGGTGGAGCAGCTTTCAAGCTAGACATTCCTTTCAATAGAGCCTGGGTGGAGGCTAGAGTGGGTGGTGGTTGAGGACAGTCATTCCTTCAGAATAAACAATACATTCCTTTGAACACACAAGGGGGGATCTTTGAACTGAGATATGATTGTTTGGTGCGTGTCTTTTTTGGGAGCCCGACACTTCTGTCGGGTCCGGTGCGCTCTCGACGTCCCTTGAAAATCCGTGGGAGGGAATAATTCTCATGTGCTTTTTTTTTGGACCAAATGATAGACCCTTGTGATGTGCTGGTGCTGTGTTCATGTTGACGTTGGAACTGCGGCTCGGCTGGGCAATCAGGGGTTTAAGAAACGGTTCCAGGTTCAGCAAGCTTGAGCTCCACAATGAAGAGCTCCACTGTAATGAAGGTGGGGAAATTGAGCTTTGATAAGATAAGTGATCCGAACACCTCACAAGCCATTGGCTTCGGCTCTTGGCCCAGCCTGGTGAAGCCCCTGTCAGGCGACCAATGAGACAGCGAGCTGTTTGTCTTGGCTGGCCGGAAAATAAATGTTGCCTGCCTAGCGCATTTTGATTTCGCGGCAGCCATCCCCCGACGTCTTGGGAATTTTCGATCTGATCTACGCGCAGCGCGAAGCGCAGCCTTGCCCTGCAGTGAACATACCTTCATGGTCATCAGGTACACATGCTTCGGCACCTGCACCCCCCACCGGCAGCACATATCATTTCCATTCTACGTTCTTTCCAGGGACACATTTTAAGACCCTAATTTTTCTTTAATGCTCCGGCTAGTTCTGCGCCCCACGAAGCACCTACCTCCCTTATCGAGCGACTGAGTGACGATACATTTAAACGCGATTTCTCCGTCAACAGCTCGGCGGGTGTACCATCCACCCTATCACAACTGAAACGAACTCCGTGCCCCCGGCCTATTTCGAAGTTGGCGATACCTAATACAACGGCGAGAGCGAGATAAGCTGTCGCCATACTGCCCGTGAGGGTGGATGACGCAATCATGGCGAGCAGTCTTATCGAGGATGTAGTGAGGAAGCTGAGTGTCCCGGAGACCGGTAGGTTGAATCTTCACAACCAATTCGTGCCGCCGATGCGGCAATTGCCTGCCCGCCTCCGATACTAACCATAGTTCGTTTTGTAGAGCCTCGGCTCAAGGTCGAGGCAGCATCTGCGCTGCGCGACAGCCTCGACCATTACACAGCGGGCCCCGGCTACGCGACCTTCCTCAAACGATTAATGCCCGCCTTCGTCAACATCCTTCGCCAGCCCTGCGTCCTCCAGACCTCCGCGCCCGATCAGGCCAACGCCCAAAAGTTGCGAAACTGCGTGCTCGAGATCCTGCACCGGTTGCCGACCGCACTATCCCCCACCGAGCCGTTCGAACCTTACGCCGAGGAGGTCGTGGACCTCTTGATGCAACTGGTCCGTAATGACAACGAGGACAATGCTGTCTTGTGCGTTAAGATCATCTCGGACATTATGCGGCACCAACACAAGATAATGGGCAATAAGGTCCAGGCATTCCTGTCCTTGATTCAGGAACTGTTTGAGCAAGTTGACAAGGTCGTCCGCGAACAGCTCGACAACACTTCTCCAGCCGCGGCACCGGTGCCCCCATCCACGCCAGGTAGCACGCAGACTACATTCCTGCCACACCAGCAATCTCCTAGGGCTGGGTCGCCGGTTGCCGCAGGAGCCCCCGATTTCAGCGTCGATCCTGGTCAGCAGTCAAACCGCACCCTGTTACGGGGGATGCAATCCTTCAAGGTTTTAGCCGAGTGCCCGATTATTGTCGTCTCGATATTTCAGGTCCACCGGCCGAGTGTCACGAACAATGTCAAGGCATTCGTCCCCTTGATCAAGCAGGCTCTGCTCTGCCAAGCCAGGGCACAGGACCAAGCGCACAAGGACGCCGCGGCTCGCGGTACCATCCACACTGGCGTCAGTCCCAATATCAAGAATCGAGCTGCGTTTGGAGAATTCATCACGGCTCAGGTCAAAACTATGAGTTTCCTGGCCTACTTGCTCCGGCAATACTCGGGCAATCTCACAGATTTCCTACCATCACTACCTGAGATCACGGTCCGCCTCCTGAAAGACTGCCCTAGAGAAAAGTCAGGAGCCAGGAAGGAGCTGCTGGTAGCGATTCGGCATATCATCAACTTCAACTTTAGGAAAATCTTCCTTCCCAAGATAGATGCCTTGTTGGATGAGAGGACGCTCATCGGGGACGGCCTGACAGTCCACGAAACCATGCGGCCCCTTGCGTACAGCATGCTGGCCGACCTCATCCACCATGTCCGTGAGAGCCTCACCCCCGACCAGATCCGGAAGACTGTTGAGGTCTACACACGAAACCTCCAGGACAACTTCCCGGGGACCAGCTTCCAGACCATGAGTGCCAAGCTCCTTTTGAACATGGCTGAGTTCATCGCTCGAATGCCCAACAAGGTTGATGCGCGCCACTACCTGATCATGATTCTCAATGCCATCGGCGACAAGTTTGCCGCCATGAACAGACAATATCCGAACGCGGTCAAGCTTTCGAAGCAGTATGCTCAGCAGGCGGCCGAAAACGCACCGGAGACCTACCTATCCGACAAGGAGTACCCGCCAGAATGGGACGAGGTCGACATCTTCAACGCCATGCCGATCAAGGCTTCCAACCCCCGGGACCGCGCCGCCGACCCAGTTGTGGACAACAAATTCCTGTTTCGCAATCTGATGAATGGCCTCAAGAACACCTTCTACCAGTTGAAGAGCTGCAATCAACCAGGTACGGTGGATTTGGCTGGCGCCCCCGCCCACTGGACCGATGTGGCGTACGGCTTCACAGCTGAGGAGGTCAAGGTTATCGTCAAGCTATTTCGCGAAGGTGCTTACGTATTCCGGTACTATGAGATTGAGAAGCCGGCGGCCGAGTCGCCATACAGCTCGCCCGTCGAATACATGGCCAATTTCTACATGATTTCGAGCAGCAAGGAGGAGAAGGAACTTCTCGAAAACTTCGCGACAGTCTTTCACTGTATAGACCCTGCCACATTCCACGAGGTGTTCCAGCAGGAGATTCCACGACTTTATGACATGATTCATGAGCATACCGCCCTTCTTCATATCCCCCAATTTTTCCTCGCTAGCGAGGCGACCTCACCCAGCTTCTGCGGCATGTTGCTGCGCTTCTTGATGGAGCGCATCGAGGACGTGGGCTCCGCCGACATCAAAAAGTCATCCATCCTCCTCCGGCTCTTTAAGTTGGCCTTCATGGCTGTCACCCTTTTCGCCTCCCAGAACGAACAGGTGCTTCTGCCACATGTCGTCGACATCGTGACCAAATCGATTGAGCTGTCGACCAAAGCAGAGGAACCAATGAACTACTTCCTTCTGCTCCGATCTTTGTTCAGGAGCATAGGCGGCGGGAAGTTCGAGCACCTCTACAAACAGATTCTGCCTCTCTTGGAGATGTTGCTTGACGTCCTCAACAACCTTCTCTTGGCCGCCCGCAAGCCGGCCGAGCGGGATCTTTACGTCGAGCTCTGTCTCACCGTTCCGGCCCGGCTAAGTAACCTTCTACCGCATCTCAGCTTCTTGATGCGCCCCTTGGTAGTGGCGTTGCGAGCAGGCACGGAACTAGTCGGCCAAGGCCTCCGGACTCTCGAGTTGTGCGTCGACAATCTCACTGCCGACTACCTGGACCCTATCATGGCTCCGGTGATTGACGAGCTCATGACAGCTCTTTTTGACCACTTGAAGCCTCACCCATACAGCCATTTCCACGCCCACACTACCCTTCGGATTCTCGGGAAGCTGGGTGGTCGAAATCGAAAGTTCATGACAGATGCCCTACCAGTCACATTCCAACAATACGTCGATGACCGGGCAAGTTTCGATGTGCGGCTCACCGGCTCGAAGCGGGACAGGGCCTTCCCGGCCCATCTTGGGATTGATCTGGCCATCCAAAACCTGATGGAGGTGCCGAGGCCAGCCAAGGGGCCGTCACCCTCGCTGTCGAAACAATATGACCCCTATTATAAGAGGCAGGCTTTGAACCTCATCATCGCTCAGGTCAAGCTGAGGGTCGGCTTTGATAGCCTGCCCGATGATTTCCCCCGCCTCGTCCGCCTCCAAGCCCAGGACCTTGTCACCCGCAACAAGGCTGTGGATGTCTCCATCTTTGAAACCTCCGATCGTGAGCGCTCAACCGCCAAGAAAGACGACGAAGAACACCTCCTCAAGCGCCTGATCAAGGCTCTCATGTTTGCCCAGTCAATCCCTGATTTCAAGGCCGAGGTGGATGCGCTACTCCTTAATCTCGCTCGCCATTTCACCATCCTCGAGGTGGGACGATCCCTAGCCGACATGAAGAGGGCTTACAGTCCCTTTGATACAAAGTTGGGAGAAGGCCTTCTTTTCCTAGATAATCGAGTGCTCTCGGACGCCATCTTAGAGTCCATGGCCTCCGACAGTCCGGACGTCCGCGATGCCGCTGAGCGTCTGGTGAAAGAGATGTACAACTCGGCAGTCATCATCTTCGGATCACCCCATCATGTCGCCCGCCTGACCCTCTTCAACAGCCTAGCGTCTGCCTTTTGCCATGGCTGCTATGAAGAGGAGTGGTTCACCAAAACAGGCGGAACCTTGGGGATTAAGGCCCTGCTGACCGATGTCGAGCTTGGCGACGCCTGGATCGCGACAAAGCAGATTGAGTTTGTCCGCGCCCTGATCTATGTCGTCAAGGACATGCCCCTAGACCTCCCCGAAAAGACGAGGAGGTCGGCGCAGGTCACACTCGAAATCCTCTTGACGAGGCTCACCAAGAACATCACGAAGGCGGACTGCTTACCTGCACCGCCGTCAGCAGCACCACAGCCACCACAGGCACCGCCGAAACACTCTCGCATCGCCCAAATCATTCTGATTCTCAACGGAGAACTGTCGCATATGAACCGGCACGTTCGAGACACCGCGAGGAGATCCTTGGAGTTGATTGCCAAAGCAGCCGGAGCCGAGGTATGGGAGCTCCTCGAGCCTCATCGCAAGCACCTGCTGCAACCTATTTACGCAAAGCCCCTTCGGGCTCTACCTTTCGCCATCCAGATCGGCTTCATCGACGCGGTCACCTACTACATGTCGTTGAAGCGAGACTTTGTTGCCTTCGATGAAAATCTCAACCGACTCTTGATGGAATCGTTGGCGTTGGCAGATGCGAGTGACGAGTCATTGGCAGGGAAGATGCTCGAATTTCGGACGCACGACTTCATTGTGAATCTCCGCGTCTCTTGCATCAACATCCTTCGCAGTGCAATGGGCTTCGACGAGTTCGGTGGCAGCGTGAACAATCCGACTAGGGTCAGGGTTGTGTCCGTGTTCTTCAAGTGCCTATACTCGGACTCCCCGCCGACAATTGAAGCAGCCAACGACGCGCTGCGGTCCGTCTTGCAGCAGACGAGCAAACTGCCCAAGGATCTCCTCCAGTCCGGCCTCCGACCCGTCCTCGCGAGTTTACAGGATGCCAAGCGCTTGACTGTTCATAGCTTGGACAACCTCGGCCGGCTTCTGCGGCTTCTGACGACCTACTTTAAGGTAGAAATTGGCGCTCGTCTTCTCGAACACGTGAAGCAGATTGCGGAGCCAAGCTTCCTCCAGCAAGTTTCATTCACTTTCTTCGAGCAGCATAACTCCCTAAAGGTGATTGCCGCCGTTTTTAACATCTTCCATTTGCTCCCGGAAGCCGCCAAGCAGTTCAAGGAACGAGTGATCGATAGCGTGCTGGACCTCGAGGAGAAACTGCGCAGGACACACCACAGCCCGTTCCGCGTCCCCTTGTACAAGTACCTTAACAAGTACCCGTCCGACGTTTGGGCTTTCACTCTTGGCAAGCTGGAAGAGTTGAAGTATGGCCGTTTCCTCTCCCAGGTACTGCGGCACCAAGACAGCCAAGTTCTCCGGGACTATGGTGCTGCGAATGTCGAGTTCATCATCAAGACTTGCAACAACTCCATCAACCAGGGCAAGGACACCAAATTCATTGCCACCATCAACACCATCAACATGCTGGACGCCCTCTGCCAGTTCCCCAACACCTTGTCATGGTTAGACAACAAAGACTACATTGATTGGCTGAAGCAGGTTGGTAAGGAACTCGAACAGAACCTGAAAGCCAACACTTTACCGCCTAATCTCCGGCTCCCGGCCGACCAGGCCTCCGAACAGCTCATGGCCATCCTGACCAAGGCGCTGGCCCGGAATGCTAAGGATCTGGACCCGCTCTTCGGCCTCGTCGAGTCCATCACAGCGGATGACTTCCGTGAAACGCCGGCCTTGCTCTCCCACATCTACAAGCACATCGTTTGCAGCGACTCCATTGAGTTCTGGAGGACCACTGTGCTTCGTTGTCTTGAGATTTATGCGGGGAGGAGCGCCTCACAGCGAACAAAATGGTATCTGCTCCACAACATCGTCAATCCCATCGTCGCCATGGACGTGATGCGGCACTGGAATCGCGGCGAACCGAGCAAAGGCACCCGATTCCTCGACAAGTCCATCATTGACTCGATCAACACCAAGATCTGGAAGGTCAACTTGCCTGATCCGCAGGAAGACCTGTCGCATCCGCGTATCGACCACACCCGCATGGAGGTGCTTCAGCTCTCGGCCATGATCGTCAAGTACCACCATGCTATTCTCCAAGATGCTCGTAAGGACTTTATTAAGTTCGGTTGGACTTACATTCGACTCGACGACGTTATCAACAAACATGCGGCGTATGTGGTCATAGGGTACTTTATCGCACACTATGAGACACCGGCCAAGATTGTCACCCAAATCTACTTCTCCCTCCTCAAAACTAACCAGAACGAGGGCCGGGCCCTTGTTACACAAGCGCTGGAGTTGATGGCGCCAGTCATGCCTAAGAGGTGCAACACGGCACTGACCGAGCGTAATCCCGTTTGGGCAGTGGCGCCGCGCCGTATCCTCTCCGAGGAAAGCCAGAACGTACAGCAGATGACGTGCATATTCCACTTTCTCGTGCGACATCCGGACTTGTTCTACCATACCCGGGACAAGTTTGCCATCTTGATCATCCAGTGCCTTCGCAAAGTGGCATCGCCGCCCAACCCATCGAATGAAAGCCGGAAGCTCGCGCTCAACATGATGTGGTTGATCTGGCAGTGGGAGGAGCGACGCGTGGAGGGGAAGATGAGCGAGCCTCACCGTGCCGTCACCGAGTCACCCGGCATAACAAAGCGGAAGCTGGAGGATCCTCAGGCATCTTCTCCTTTGGCCGCACGTCAACCAGAGAAGGCAGAATTCCAGATCCCTCCGTTGGTACGCCATAAGATGGTTAAGTACCTCGTTGAGTTCATCGCCCAGCTGAACGAGCGGTACCAGCTTCCTTCCGCTAAACCACGCGATTCGACCGCGCCGGTGCTGCCCTCGCCGGCGACGGAGCTCTGCAAGAGAGCCATGGCTTTGTTATACAATCTGCTTCAGCCGCAGTACTGGGGTGACCTGGACGTGGATCTGTTCCCCAACGTCACCGACGTGGTCCTGGCCAGCCCCAAGTCTGCCGGCCTCCTGTCAGCCGATCCTCCGGACGCGGAGAAGCCACGTCCTACGGAGGCGGACAAGGCGCGCGACGAGAAGTTCATCACCAATATCATCAATACCTTGCAGGTGGTCCGTATCATCCTCAACTTCAAGTCCGACGAATGGATTCTGAAGCACACGGCCCACATACAAAAGATCTTGGAGAAGTGCCTAAAGTCGGAACATCCAGAGATCCAAGACTGCCTGAACATGGCCGACAAGGACCACGACGGCCGCCGCGACATCAAGCCGATCGTCAAACGTATCCTGGATGCAGTGCCGGAGGACGTTCCTATGGAAGATGCCGATGCCGATGGGGAGTCGGAAGCGCAGACCTCTGAAGTTATCACCTTCCTCTCCGGCATCGCCACGGAGAGCATGGCTGCGTCGAATTATGTTTCTGGCATCAACATCTTGTGGTCGCTCGGATCCCGCAAACCATCCACTATTGACCAGCACATCCCCGCCATCATGAAGTCGCTACAATCAAAGCTTGCCCGGGACCACGTCTCTCATTACGCGGCAGTGACTCAAATCAGCGGCATCCGTCCGCAACAAGACCCGAATGCGGCGACCGAGATGAACCCCTATGACCTCGAGATTCAGACGGGTTTAATCCTCAAGGCGATCGAGGTCACCGCGATGCGCATGGAGATTCTCGGCGACAATAGGCGGCCTTTCCTCAGCGTCCTGGCAACCATCGTCGAGAAGTCACTTCATGTGGGTCTTTGCGAGAAGATCTTGGAGATGGTGGAGGGTTGGGTCTTCCGGTCTGAAGGCACATGGCCGACGCTTAAGGAGAAAACAGCAGTGCTTCACAAGATGATATCGTTCGAGCATCGCGCAGATCAGACCATGTTGATGAAATTCCTCGAGCTTGTCCTCCGCGTCTACGAGGATCCCAAGATTGCCAGAACCGAACTCACGGTGCGTATGGAGCACGCCTTCCTCATCGGCACTCGCGCTCAAGACGTCGAAATGCGCAACAAATTCATGACCATCTTTGACAAGTCATTGTCAAAAACGGCGAGCCTCCGGTTGGACTATGTCCTTGTCCGGCAGAACTGGGACACGCTGGCGGATTCATATTGGTTGGCACAAGCGTCTCAACTTCTCTTGGGCGGCGTCGACATGAACCCCGTCATCCAACTTCATCATGAAGATTTCCGGACCCTACAAGCCTCTCAACTCATTAGCACTTATTCCAAGGATAGCCGCGAGCCGACCAGCATGAGCGACGACAAATACGAGGCCTTCATGGCAAATCATCGGCGCTTTGTGGCGGAGCTTGGCGACGTGAGGGTGCGGGACATCCTTGATCCCCTGACACAGCTGCAGCATATTGATGCCAACTTTGCGAACGAGCTCTGGGTGACGCTCTTCCCCATGTTTTGGTCCGCAACAGCCAAGGATGAGCGGGACGAGCTTGAGCGCGGGTTAGTGGCGCTGCTAATGAAGGACTACCACGCGCGCCAGATAGAAAAGCGGCCGAATGTGGTTCAGTCACTCGTAACCGCGGCCGTGAAGACATGGCCGCACCTCAAGATCCCCCCGCATGTTCTCAAGTTTGAGGCCAAAACATACGACGTCTGGTACACGGCGCTGTGCCAGTTGGAGAACTCGGCGATGAAACCACAGATCGACTCGGCAGCCGTTCGGGAGAGTAACCTAGACGCGCTGCTCGATCTCTACGCTTCTCTGGGCGAAGATGATCTGTTTTACGGAACTTGGCGCCGCCGTTGCCAGTTTGTGGAAACAAACGCCGCGCTCTCCTACGAGCAACATGGCATGTGGGAAAAGGCCCAGCGCATGTACGAGACTGCTCAGATCAAGGCCAGGACTGGCGTGATTCCCTTCTCCGAGTCGGAATACATGCTCTGGGAAGATCATTGGGTGCTCTGCGCGCAGAAGCTCCAGCAATGGGAGGTCCTACAAGATTTTGCAAAGCACGAGAACTTTCAGGATCTGCTCCTAGAGTGCGCATGGCGGAACCCCGAGTACTGGCAGAACCAAGACAACCGCGACCAGCTAGATACGCTCATCAAGGGCGTCATGGACGCGCCGACACCGAGGAGGTCATTCTTCCAGGCGTTCATGTCCCTTTTGAAGCTGCACAACAAGCAGGAGAACATGCCAGACTTCAACCGCGTGGTCGATGAAGCAATTCAGCTGTCAATTAGGAAATGGCACCAACTGCCAAAGCGACTCACTTCCGCTCACATCCCGGTTCTCCAGAACTTCCAGCAGCTTGTCGAGCTCCACGACGCTAGCGTCATCTCTCAGAGCCTGAACAGCACCAACGCGAATAATCTTGATATCAAGTCCGGCGAGCTCAAGTTACTTCTTGGCTCTTGGAGGGACAGACTTCCGAATACATGGGACGACATTGTTGCATGGCAAGATCTGGTAACGTGGAGGCAGCACATCTTCGGCCTCATCAACGGAACGTACCTGCAACTTGTGCCTGCACAGTCGCAAAACCCCGGGGGCGTCTCTTTTGCGTACCGAGGATACCACGAGACGGCGTGGATCATCAACCGGTTTGCTCACGTCGCCAGGAAGCATGCGCTGCCGGATGTCTGCATCAGCCAGCTGAGCCGCATCTACACGCTCCCGAACATTGAGATCCAAGAAGCGTTCCTCAAGCTGAGGGAACAGGCCAAGTGCCATTACCAGAACCCCGAGGAACTGACGAGTGGGCTGGACGTGATTAACAACACGAACCTGAATTACTTCAGCGCGCCGCAAAAGGCCGAGTTCTACACATTGAAGGGCATGTTCTTGGAAAAGCTCAACCAAAAGGAGGAGGCCGACGGCGCGTACGGCACTGCTCTCTACTTTGACATAACGGCGGCAAAGGCGTGGGCAGAATGGGGTTACTTCAACGACAGGAGGTTCAAGGAGAATCCGACCGACCTGTCGGCGGCCAAGCAAGCAGTCACCAGCTACCTCCAAGCCGCGTCGAGCTACAAGAACCACAAGTCGAGGAAGCTGATTGCGCGGGTCTTGTGGCTGCTGAGCCTCGACGACGCAAGCGGCACGATCTCGCAAGGGTTCGACGACTTCAAGGGCGAGGTTCTCGTCTGGTGGTGGATCACGTACATCCCGCAGCTCCTGATCGGCCTCGGGCACAAGGAAGCGCCGCGGTTGCAGGCCATCCTGCTCAAGATCGCAAAGACCTACCCCCAAGCGTTGTACTTCCAGCTTAGGACCAACCGCGAGGACATGCTCGTGATGAAGAAGAACCAGGACGCCAAAGAAAAGGCAAGGCGCGGGCAGGCCGCGGGCAACAAGCCCGCCGGCTCTCCCCAGCTGACTAAGAAAGATGCGGCGGCCGGCGGCAGCGATTCCCGACCCGCGACAGCTAACGGAGACGCGGCCGGACAAGCCAAGACCGAGCCCAAGGCCGAAGGGGACGTTGCGAGCACTCCTACGGGGCCGCCTTCGGCAACGACCGGGCCGGCACAGGGTGAGCAAACGGGCGGCTCGCAAAAGAAGCCTTGGGAGCTCACGGAGGAGATTATGAGCGTCCTCAAGACCGCCTTCCCCTTGCTCGCGTTGTCGATGGAGACCATGGTGGACCAGATCCAGAAGCATTTCAAGTGCCCGCCTGATGAGGACGCCTACAGGTTGATCGTCGCGCTTCTCAACGACGGCCTTGCGTATGTCAGTCGTATGCCGACTTCGTACGCCCGCGATGTGAAGCTTCCGCCTGCCACGGAGAACAACATCACGCGTTTTGCTGAGACGATCCTGCCAAGTCACATTCGCGGCACGTTCGAGGCGGACTTTGTTAAAGTCAAACCGACCATGTACGAGTACATCCACAACCTCCGCAAGTGGCGCGACAAGTTCGAGGAGAAGCTCGACCGGCGGGTGACACCGGTACCGCTTGAAAGCTTTGCCCATTATTCGCCGCACCTCAGCGAATTCCGGTACCAGAAGTTTGACGACGTCGAGGTTCCGGGCCAATACCTGCAGCACAAGGACAAGAACCAGGACTTTGTCCGCATTGACAGATTCCTGCCCAACGTCGATCTGGTGCGGACGATCGGCGCGTCCCACCGGCGCCTCAAGATCCGCGGCCACGACGGCAGCGTGCATCCGTTTGCGGTACAGCATCCCGCAGCACGGCACTGCCGTAGGGAAGAACGGATTCTGCAGCTATTCCGGCAGCTCAACCAGACGCTCAGCAGTAAGAAGGAGAGTCGTCGGCGGGATCTGCAGTTCACGCTGCCGCTGATGGTGCCGTTGGCGCCGCACATCAGAATCGTACAAGAGGACACGACGTACATTACGCTGCAGGGCATATACGAGGATCACTGCCGTCGGAACGGCATTCCCAAGGACGAGCCGGTGCTGTACACGATGGAGAAGCTGCGGGGTCTGGTGGACTCTAAGGGACCCGTAAGTTGCGCGCTTGGCCCTACCCACGGACGCGGACTAACCAATCATGACTGGCAGAAACCGGCAGAGCACGCAGTCACGGCGCGGCTGGAGGTGATGCGGGCGATCCAGGAGAAGTACGTGGACAATTCGGTGGCGCTCGAGTACTTCCAGGGCGCGTTCCCCGAATTCTCCGAGTTCTGGCTCTTCCGTCGGCGCTTCTCGTACCAGCTGGCGGCGGTGACGTTCATGACGTACATCCTGCACATCGACAAGCGGTACCCGCACAAGATCAACATCGCGCGCGGGTCGGGCAACATCTGGGCGTCGGAGCTCATCTCGTTCATGGCGGCCAACCGGCCGTACTTCCACAACCAGGAGCCGGTCCCGTTCCGGCTCACGCCCAACCTGCAGATGCTGATGGGCCCGCTCGCGACCGAGGGCATCTTTGCGTCGTCGGTCATGGCCATCGCGCGCTGCCTGACGGAGCCCGAGTTCCAGCTCGAGCACGCGCTGACGCTGTTTGTGCGCGACGAGATGATGTTCTGGTTCACCAGTTCCCACCGCTCCCAGCCGCTCACCGAGAACCAGCTGCGCGAGACCGTCCAGGCCAACAGCGATATGATCGTCAAGAAGGCCGTCTCGCTCGCGCAGGCTCCCGCAGGCAACCTGCCCGCCCACCAGACCGTTATTGACCTGATAGCGAAGGCCGTGAATCCCATGAACTTGGCCATGTGTGACGCGCTGTGGATGCCATATCTGTAAGATGGAGGGGGGAGTGGGGAGTGGGGGTGTGTGGTGGGTTTCGAGAGGGGTTCGTTTGGCTGGTCTTTGTTGAGGGGAGCCGTGGTTTCTTACTTGGGCGTGGGCGGCGTTGGGGATGATGTTTTTGTAATACATGTGCATGCCAACGGTTTGGGGTGGCAGGTAGTGACAGGGTAGGAAAAGGGGCTGGGGGTTGGGGACATGGGGGTCATGGATCAAAAGGTGTTACTGTTGTCACTGGTTTAGTTAGCTTTATCTATTGCTCATAGAATGGGCCTCTCATCGTTAATTTATACACCGGCGCAGCGCATTGACCTGTGATATGTGTTCTTGTATGTGTTCCGAGCCGATCAATGGTGGTTAACTCCGTGGAACGGACCGGTGTAGCCGGGCCGAGGGTGATCGGCGCCGGACCGGGGTCCGGGTACCTGTTTCCCCAACCCCGCATCGGTGGCTAGGACGAAATGGTTAGTGTTGCAGGTCTTGGTGCTACACAAGGAGTTTCTCGGAGTATTCGGGAATCGCCTGCCTCGGCCCCAGTTGCGGTCACTCTTTCCATTCTTTGTTCTTCCAGCCATCACGTTTTACACCTTGCGGCGTTCCCTTCACTACTAATACGGAGTTAAACGACGGCGCCTTGCAAGAGTTGCTGCAGTTTCAAGAAAGCTCGCAGAGCAGAAGACGTTTGTTTACTTTCAAGAAAGTACATCTCCACCGAACTCCGAGATGGCGAACCAGGAGCAGCAAGCGGTATCGGTGCCTCGGAAGCTTTGGTATGTTCACTCACAGCCTCACATCATCAACTCTCACGATGGCTGACCCTCACCGCTACATACACACAGGCAACACCCAGACCCCGAAAGCACTCAGATGTACCGCTTCATGCAGGACCTCAACCACAAACACAACCTCCAGCTCAAGGTTCGTCCTCAGACACCACACACACACACACTCACGCCCCCTGCATTCATAACCCATAACCCATAACCCATAACCCACAACCCACCACACTAACCCCCCCAAAAAGACCTTCCGCGACCTGCACGCCTTTTCCCTCGCCCACCGCACCCTCTTCTGGGACGCCCTCTTCCGCGCCGCCAACCTCCTGCACGAAGGCACCTACACCACGGTCGTCGACGAGTCGCTCCCCATCGACGCCGTCCCCCGCTGGTTTGATGGCGTGCGGCTGAATTTTGCGGAGAACGCGCTTTTTTCGAGGGGGTCGGCCGCTTCTGCTTCTTCTGATGATGATGATGATGGGGTGGGTGGTGGTGGGGTGAGGGGGGGTGTGGGGGAAGGAGGATGGGAAAGTGGCGGTTACGGAGGTGAGGGAGGGGGGGAGTGCGGTGAGGAGCGTGACGTATGGGGGAGTTGAGGGCGTTGGTGGAGGGGATGGGCCAAGGCGATGATGACGAGGGGGGTCAAGATGGGGGGATCGGATCGTGGTGGTGGCTGCGAATAGTGTCGAGACGTTGGTGGTTTGGTTGGGGGCGGCGTGGTTGGGGGCCGTGTTTAGTAGCAGTTCGACGATATGGGGGTGAAGGGCATTTTGCAGCGGGCGGTGCAGTTGATCTGACCTGAGTATGGGGGTTTTGC